CAATTACATACTATATAGAAATCCCCTTGTTATGCAGAGCATCAACAAATTAGTTAATTTGTCCCCAGGATGCAACCCACACCAGTTGGTTAACACCCAGGTACCTATTTACTGCTAGGTAAACAGGGACAGCAGATTTCTTAAGGAAACACACCCCCAATGTTTCCGCCCATACCGGGGATCCAACCACAGACCTCTATGTGTGAGCTGAGTGCGCTACTAACCAGGCTATGGGACAAAATAGAGTAACAACATTACTCTGAAGCCTCAGCTGATGATTATAACAAACACACACTTGAAGGAGGTCCTTACTGACCACAGAGTGCACATACAAACTTTGTTGGGGTCTAGAGCCGTGAGTATTGGTGTGAATGAGGTGTGGCATAGTTCTGGTGGGCCCCACTGCAGAAAAATGTTTTAAAAGGTACTTTTTTTTTATATCCTAAAAGCTTACATACATTATAGGCATCAAGATATCCTTTTTAATTCCTTTATACAGCTACATTTCATGCTCACAAGAGCCAATAATACATTTCTAAGCATGCTGTAAAATTCTGAGCTCTACTTACCATTATCATTTTGTGAAATAAAATTACTAGACACAGCCATTGACTCTCTTTCTGCAGCCCCAATCACCTGAAACAATTTATGAATCAGTGAATCCACATTTTATGTGTTATGTGCATTGCAGTACCACATACAGTGAGGAGAAAACATTCAATAATTTTTTATTTGTGTTGCTACATCTTGATCAGTGATACCACATGTACACACAACAAAACAGTCTAAAACAGGACTTCGATTGCTATACAGGTGCTCCTTGCCCTTATGATGGTATGACTTACGATATTTCGACATTATGATGGTGCAAAAGCAATTACTCTGGAGATGAAATTTGAGATAATTACCCAGCTGAAGGCAGTAGTCCTTAACTTACATTCGTTTATTTACTTTCAATACACTCGTATTTAGTTAGTGACAGTAATTATTTGACAGTAGTTATTTATTTATTTATTTAGCTATGATATTCATATTCGACTTACAATGGTTTGTAGGAACATAAACCCCATCGTAAGTCGAGGAGCACCTGTAAATATATTTTGCAAATGCTGTCAGACACTACAAAATTTGCAGTTTTGGAACAAATTCCAATGTTTTGCATGTTATACGGGTTCACTTTATGAACCATAGGCAAAAAATGCATCTATAGCATAAAGAAAGGTCTCCCTCATGTTAACCCTTTGACTGTTTCCGACGAATAAATACGTCTTACGAGCCAAGTTTCTGACGTATTTATACGCAAAAATTTCCCTAGCGGCTTAAAATCGAGCGCCAAAGGCCTGATAGGCCTACACGGAGAGAATGGGTCTCAGTGGTCGGTGTGCACCCTGTGAAAAAAAATCTGGGACCTAGCGGTGCATTGTGGGAATGCCATGTTGTCAGTCATTTTCACCATGCCTCTCAGTAAGAAGTTCCTCACTCCCGGCGATTGGAGGTCTTTTGTTCCCAAGTGATAGCTCTAACAGCGATGAAAGTGTCAGTGACGGTGAATTCAAGGGTTTTCAAGTGAGTGTTACCGAAAAAAGTGCCCAGGATAACGTAAAATAGTGACGAAAACCCAGATGACCCACAACCTTCGACCTCTGGTGCTGTGCCGGCTTTTTTCACGTTCACGTTCGCCTGTACCAGGACGAAAGAGGAAATTATTTGGGTCGTGTACAACACCCTGATGATAGCATGATAGTGATAGTGATAGTTATAGATTTCAAGGTCATTGAAAGCAGTTCTAGTGACAGTGAGAGTGAATATTCCCCAGTGAAGCGCCAGTATGTACGACGTAGCATGCGGTCTGGTAGTGTTTCATATGTTGTTCCAAGGGGAAAGGGGAAACTCTGGAGCACATCCCGTGGCCCAACACCACGACCTGATAGTGAAGATGACGATATTGTAACGATGGGTATGAATGGTGACAGTGAGGGAGGAGGCAGTGGTGGTGATAGTGAGGGGGGGAACGGCCCCTGTGGCACCATTTACCGGGCCACGCTACTAGCCACGCGGCTGACTCAGCAGAACAACCAGCCTCACCCACCCCCCCACTGCCACAACCTGCACCACCACAACCTGCACAGCCACAACCACAGCCACAACCACGGTACAATATCCAGACCCCACCAGCAGACCGCATCTGGGAAATTGGCAGGACGGTGACGAGTTTGTTCCCAGTCCCCCTGACTTTGATGAAACACAAAGTGGGATAAAGCCATCTTGTCCACTTGGGAACAATGCCAGTGAACTGGACTGCTTTGAGTTTATTCTTCGATGAACCCCCGATGGGCATCATTGTCAGGGAAACCAACACATACTGTGAATACACCATGGCAAATACAATTCTCTCACCAAAATCACGGCTACACAATGGAAGGAGACAACTGTGGCAGAGATGTACCCCGTTTTTTGCCACAATAATGCTTATGCCACATGTGTTTTAAGCACACTGTCACCACATACTGGACAACAGATCGCCTGATTTCAACTCCAGGTTTTAGTGACATTATAGGTGTCAATCGTTTCCCCGATACTGTTGCGTATGTTACCTTTTCAGACAAAACCAGGCCTGACAGAAGCGACAGGTTATATAAGATAAGAAATGTGTTTATGTACCTGAAACAAAAGTGCTGCATGTATTTTTATCCCTTCAGGAAGCTTGTTATTTATGAGTCCTTGATTTTATTCAAAGGAGACTCTCATTCAAGCATATATACCAAGCAAGAGGAAACGCTTTGGTATAAAGCTATTTGTACTGTGTGATTGCAGAAGTGGTCTTGTTTTAGATATTATTGTGTACACTGGCAGTAATACTTTGAGAGATACCATGAAGTTATTGGGTATCTCTGGTGATGTGGTTCGAACAATGATGGAACCATATCTTGGTAAGGGGCATATGTTATTTACTGATAACTGGTAACACAAGCCCCTTACTCAGTGATTTCTTGCGAGTGAACTTGACAGACGTGTGTGGCACAGTGCGTGGTAATCGCAAACATATGCCAAGGTTCGACGCTGGCACTCGCAGAGGTGAGGTGCAAGCCTTTGCTGCCAATGACATCATGGCATTTTCGGTGGCATGACAAACGTGATGTCACATTGTTGACATCAGTTCACACAAACGAAATGGTACCATGGCAGGGACAACAGAGAGACCAATGAACCCAATTCTAAAGCCTGCAGCTGTCATGGACTACAACCTCAATATGCGCTTAGTGGACAAATGTGACATGCAGATTGGGTTTGCAGACTGTGTACGCAAGAGTTATAAGTGGTATATCAAACTTTTTTTCCATCTTGTGATATCTCTATGCTAAATGCTTATAACATATACAAGTTGAAGACCAACAAAACACCAAAATAGGTGAATTTTGCCTGTCAGTAATCAGACAAATAATTGCAAAGTACAAAGGAGCAACTCCTGCAATAGACCAGCGCCCACAGACGTCATCTCGTATGAGGCCTGGTGATCACTACCCCATACAACTGCCTCCTACTACTGCCAAGAAAAATGCTCAGAAGAGGTGTTATGTATGTATGCATACCACAAAACGCCCACAAAACACGCAGAGACACTCGTTTTATGTGTGAGGAGTGTGAAGTTGCCCCTCTGCATATACCCATGTTTCAAAGAGTTCCACAAGCTGCAGCAGTTCTAGGAACGTGTTTAGTGACTGTACATATGTATATATATTATGGAACAATAGTAATAAACATTTGTTTTGTATTGTTTGTTTGTGTAAACAAAGTGTATACACAAACTAATAGTGATAAAGTTTGTTCTGTTATTGTGTTGTAAATAATGAGTGTATATTTGAACAATGCACCTTACATTGGTCTCACAGGCCACATAAGTTACCTGGAAAAGAAAAATATTGAAAAATGCAAGAAACCTTTGAATTAGAGTAAATAAAAGAATACCGGGTGGGCGGCAGTCGCCGCTGTTGCCGTACGCACGTCAATTTGTGCAAACTTTGCGGCTCTATATCTCGGTAAGTACTGATGGCAAAAATTTTTTTTTAGGCTTAAAACACTAGTAAAAATATTCCTAACATTTTCATAAGAAAAAATAATATTTTTTTTTTCTAATATTTGGCGACATAGAATGACAGTTTCAGAGAGGGCCCTGAAACAGTCAAAGGGTTAAAAAGAGATAAAGACTACCTCATTCTTCCTGTCCCTGCCAGCGATTACGTTGATCTTATTGACCAGTGAATAAATTTTTATTGTTTTTCTTATTGTAGCTCTCTCTACAAGCAAGCTTTGGCATGGCAATGGGGTCTTTCATTAGTGCAGTACTAGCTACCATATTTTATGGTGTTGAAGCTACTTTTTTTTTTTTTCCACAAAATAAATCTCGAAAATTTTCTCAGCATTCTGGAGACTAAAGTAACATTTATCTTTTTTTTTTCCAAAATTTAGCCAATCAGAATTGAAGGGGAAGGGCACTGTCAAAACTGGAGCATCTTGTTCACCATAAAATATGGTAACCTGTACTTGAAGGCAGGAAAACTCACCCCTTCAGCCATAACAATGTGATGTGGCAGTAGTGTATTGGTATCTTCTTCACAGTACCTAGTAAGTTTAGCAGCACTGACTTACAGCTTCAATATCTCCAACTGATTGTAAGTCATCAGGATACAGCTGTCAGATGTAAACTATTTTGTGCACCCAGTCTACACTACAAATGACCTCTATGATACTACATAGTTCTATTTTCTGCAATTATGTATACTAGATTAATGAAGCCCATGTAGAAAAATCATTTCCATAAATGAAGTTTTTAAAGTTACATAAGTGTCTCATTTACATTGGATGAAATATTTACATGTAAAAGGTTAGTTGGCAGTATGGCAGGGAGTGGGGACAACAGAGACTGCCTCTGGCTTGATGGAGCCCATACTAGGAGGAATGCGACATGTCAATAAGTACATCATTTCACGTGACCTGTCCATCACTGGTAGTCTATGTATTCTGGGGAGCAAAACCAGTAATATATTAATATAATAATAATAATTTATTATTATTATTATTTTTATTGTTTTTTTATTTTTGTTGCAGTTTTATAACTGTAGTGTAAGTGCACCCCTGGCAAGACAGTGATGGAGTGAATGAGGAAAGTTTTTCTATTTCGGCCACCCTACCTTGGTGGGAAATGGTTGATGTGTTAATAAAAAAAAAATTTTTTTTAACATGCTGGCCATTTCCTACTGAGGCAAGGTGATCCAAAAAAAGAAACGCTTTCCACCATCATTCACACTATCATTGTCTTTGCAGAGGCATGCAGATACGACAGTTTTGATGTCACTCTAAACAGCAAGTATCCCAAACCCTTCCCTTTTAAAATGCAGACATTGTACTTTCCACCTCCAGGACTCAAGTCCAATTGGTTTCCCCTGAATCCCTTCACAAATTATTACCCTGCTCACACTCAACAGTTATTTTTAGTAAGCCATATAGAAGAAGGGGTTACTAGTCCCTTGCTTCTGGCATTTTAGTTGACCTTTACAACAAGCATGGCTTATGGAAGAAAGATTCTTATTCCAGTTCCCATGGATATGAAAGGAAATAATAAGAAAAGAACTATTTAACACGCTGACTGTCTCCCACCAAGGTAGGGTGACCCAGAAAAAGGACACACATTCACCATTCACTCAATTGCTGTCCTGTAAAATGCATGCTGATAATAAAATTCAGATGACCCTGTGAGCTGCAATATCCTCACTCCTCTAGGGTGCAGGCACTATAATTCCCACCTCCTGGACTCAAGTCCAGCTAAGCAGTTTCCCCTGAATACCTTTGTTAATGTTACCATGCTCACACTCCAACAGCACATCAAGACCTTACAACCACTTGTTTCCATTCACTCTGTTCTAGCAAACATACACACAAACTGTTGGATATTCAAGGCCCTAATAATCAAAACCTCCTTGAACCCCCTCTCACTAACACTTCCTGGGATGACCCCTACCCCTCCTTCCTTCCATAAAAGATTATATATACTCTTTTAGCCATCATATTCTGCTCCATCCTCTCTAAATGCCCAAACCACCTCGATTTCTTCTCAGTCCTCAATTGTACTTAAGTAACCCCACACCATCTAATCACCATGCTCCAAATTCTCTGCATTTTAATCACATTTCATATTGCTCTCAAGCATGACATTTCCACTGCCTCTACAGATCCCTCAACACACCACCTACCTTATATTCATTTCCTCCATACTCCCCTCCACTCCAATTTGCTATTCAGTCTTTCACTGCCTAAACTTTTTATCACTCATCACCTTGTTAACATCATCATTTTTGTTACTTTCATCACCTTGCTATATTCACTCTTAACTTTCTTTTATATACCCTTCAAATTCCTCCATCAACCTTTGCAACCTTCTTCAGAATCTCCCAAATGAACTGTGTCATCGGCAAAGAGCAACTATGACAACTCCCACTCTGTATAAGGTCCAATATATTTCAAGCCCACACTTCTCCCAACACCCTAGCATTCACTTCTTTTACAACCCCATCTATAAATACTCTATGTTAAACAACCATGGTGACATCACAAATCCCTGGACAATAGTCCCTCTACAATACACAAATAGCCCTATCTCTCCTACATACCCTAACCAGAGCTACACTATAAACATGAAAACTCTTGACTGCTTTTAGTAACCTACTACCTATTCCAAACATCTGCCACACTGCTTCCTTATCCACCCTATCACATGCATCTTCCAAATCTATAAATGTGGCAAAAGTTTCTTACTGTTCACTTAATATACTTCCCTGTAAATGCTTGGTCTACACATCCCCTACCCTACCCAAATCCTCCTTGTACCTATTCAATCCTACATTGTCTTACTTCTAACTCTTTCAATAATAATTCTTAAAATAAAAATAACATTTAATATAAAAACAATAAAAAAAAAAACCTATGTAGTAGGTTGGTAGACAGCAACTGCCCCAGGGAGGTACTACTGTCCTACCAAGTGAGTGTAAAACAAAAGCCTGCAATTGTTTTACATGACAGTAGGATTGCGGGTGTCTTTTTCTCCATCTCATAAACATGCAAGATATCAGGTACGTCTTGCTACTTCTACTTACACTTAGGTCACACTACACATGCATGTATACAAGCCTATATATACACACTCCTCTGGGTTTTCTTACATTTTCTTACTAGTTCTTGTTCTTGTTTATTCCTCTTATCTCCATGGGGAAATGGAACACAATTCTTCCTCCATAAGCCATGCATGTCGTAAGAGGCGACTGAAATGCCGGAGGGAAATGGAACAGAATTCTTCCTCCGTAAGCCATGCGTATCGTAAGAGGCGACTAAAAAAGCTGGGAGCAAGGGGGTAGTAACTACCTTCTCCTGTATAAATTACTAAATTTAAGAAGAGAAACTTTTGTTTTTCTTTGTTGGCCACCCTGCCTTAGTGGGATACGGCCAGTTGTTGTGAAAGAAGAAGAAAAAATAAAAACAATAATAATAATTCATATGATTATAATACTACAGTAGTAGTAATAATGTGCCAGGAATAAGTACAGTATGATAAGAGACATTCATTAAAGCTTCTGACCAGTTTTGATAATTCTCGAAGGTACAGGGGGTTTTGTAACATTGAACCACAAGTGACAGTAGGCAGGCGGCAGGCATGTTGAACTGCTCACACTCACTATCCGCACACATGGTCGCACATCTGAAAGTAATGAAAAAAAAAAGCTCCAGGCACAAAATACATACCACAGAGGAAAAAGAATAGTAGATGTCTACATTCTATGATACATGAAAGTTTCACTGCTATTGTGAGATGTTATTCTCCGGATGACAGCAAGATCTTCAATGTCATAAGGCTAGGCACTGTCACATAAATATCAACATCATTGTAGTTTCCTAATACAGTGGAACCCCGGATTTCGCACGTACATACTGGATATTGGATGTTTCGGATTTAGAACACTTTTTGGGGCAAAATTTTGCTCTGGATTTGTACCTTGTCCTGGGAATTATATGTATCAGATGCATTTGCCCACCAGGATGCTGCCTCAGTCTGGCTTTGTCACTGGTTGAGTGAGCATTCATCTGAAACACTTCACAATTTTTGTGCTTGTTAATTGATTGCGACTGTGAAATAAGCCACCATGGGCCCAAAGAAAGTTCCTAGTGACAGTCCTTTGGTAAAGAAAGTGAGAAACACAATAGAACTGAAGAAAGAGATTGTAGAAAAATACGAAAGTGGTGTGCATTTAGCCGAGCTTGCCAGGATGTATGGGAAGTTGAAATCAACAGTCTGTTCCATCCTGGCAAAGAAAGTAGAAATAAAGAAGCTAAAGTTGCGAAAGGGGTGAATATGCTAATGAAACAGAGATCACAAACAACTGAAGATGTGGAGTTGTTGTTGGTGTGGAAAAACGAAAAACAGCAGGAGATAGTGTTGTGGAGTCGATCATTTGCAAAAAGGCAAGACGCTGCATGCAGATCTCATAAAAGAAATGCATGGAACGAGTGCTGCTGTTAGTGAATTTAACATTTGACTGTTTCGATCGTATATATAAATCTTACGAGCCAGTGTTTTTGACGTATTTATACTCCAAAATTCTGGCAGCTTCAAATCAAGTGGGAGAAAGTGGGTAGGCCCACATGTGAAAGAATGGGTCTGTGTGGTCAGTGTGCACAGTATAATAAAAAAAATCCTGCAGCACGCAGTGCATGAGAAAAAAAACCTCCAACCTTGTTTTTGGATTAAAACGCCAACTTTAAGGTGTATTTTCACATACAGTGGATCCTTGGTTATGGCCACAATCCATTCCAGAAGGCTGACAAAAACCGAAATGGCCAAAAACCGAAATAATATTTCCCATAAGAATTAATGCAAATACAATTAATCCATTCCAGACAAAAATATTCACAAAACATAATTTTCTTATTATATAAATATTACATACCTTTATTGAAGCTAATGCTGGCTTCTGGAAGATTGGGAGGAGGAAAGAGGGAGGAGTTAGTGTTTGGAAGGGGAATCCCCCTCCATAAAGACTTTATGTAGCAAAAGCCTTCTCTGGGGTTACTTCCCTTCTTTGTCTTTTAATGCCACTAGGACTAGCTTGAGGGTCACTGGATCCCTGTCTCACAAAATAACTGTCCAGAGTGCTCTGTTTCTGGCATCTCCTTAACCCAAACTACATATACAGTAATGTTCTCTCGCGTAGCGCCCCAAACTTATATAATACATTTTTTTTTTTTAACAAGCCGGCTGTCTCCCACTGAGGCAGGGTGACCCAAAAAAGAAAGAAAATCCCCAAAAAGAAAATACTTTCATCATCATTCAACACTTTCACCTCACTTACACATAATCACTGCTTTGCAGGGGTGCTCAGAACACAACAGTTTAGAAGCATATACCTATAAAGATACACAACATATCCCTCCAAAAGCTAAGTATCCAAACCCCTCCTTTAGAGTGCAGGCATTGTACTTCCCATTTCCAGGACTCAAGTCAGCTATATAAAAATAACGTTTCCCTGAATCACTCACTAAATATTACCTGCTCACACTCCAACAGATCGTCAGGTCCCAAATACCATTCACTCCATTCGCTCCTATCTAACACGCTCACACAACGCTTTTTCTTATCATTGCACAACATCCACGCACATTCATACTTCCCACTTGACAATTTTCTTTTTCTTAATTCTTTTTAGTAATTTTTACAGGAAAAAGGGGTTACTAGCCCATTGTTCCGGCATTTTAGTTGACTTTTACAACACGCATGGCTTATGGAGAAAGATTCTTATTCCACTTCCCATGATATACTAAAAAGGAAAAGTAATAAGACCAAGAATAATTAAGATAAAATCAAAGAAAACTCAAGACAAGTGGTATAAATAAACTTACATGTATGTGTAGTGTGACCTAAGTGTAAGTAGAAGTAACAAGACGTACTGTAATCTGCATATTTACGAGACAGACAAAAGACACAGCAATCCACCATCATGCAAAACAATTACAGCTTTCGTTTCACACATCACTTGGCAGGACGGTAGTTACCCCCCTGGGTGGTTGCTGTTACCAACCTACTACGTATATATACGTTTCATTTGTCATTCATTCAACATTGGCACGCTAGGCCTGAGTTGCCTAGACATGACAGAATGGGTGTGTGCACTCCTGTTCGCCATATGAAAAAAATTGGGGATGCCTGGGTACCACATGCTCTTTTTCCTATAAAAAAAAAACGATTTTTTTTCCTCAAAATATTCAGGGCGCTGCGCAGGTGAACGTATATATACGATGGACCATTTAAGGGGGCAGGATTTTGTCAAATAAACATGTTGCAGATATGGCTTGTTTCAGCTTTGTCAGGGTGGTACTTCTTGACAAAACTTTGCACTCATTCCCCCTTTGCACAAATGTTCTTAATCAATGAAGAAGGCACCTCCTTCACTCCCTCTTCCTCCTCCTCTGAAGCAAGTTCCTCAGCTGCAGTCTGTTGTTGTTCAAGTTGAAGCTCTTGCAGCTCTTCATGGTTAGCTTTCCTGTGTTTCCCCCACCAACTCTACCACATCCTCGCCACTCACCTCCAACCCCAGGGACTTCCCCAGTGCCACAATAGAGTCACAGGGTCAGAAGGGGCAGGGTCCCTCAAACTCTTCAAAATTCCTCTCTTGGACATAATTGGCCCCAGTTTTCTCCAAGCAGAGTTCCTGGAAGTCACTCCCTGCCAAGCCTTACCCATAAGACTTATGCAATGGAGGATAGTGAAGTGATTCCTCCAGAACTCTCTTAGGGTCAAAATGAGTGTCTGAGGTCACTTCAAAGCACTTTTGAAACACTGTTTTTTGTGTAGAGTTTTTTGAAGTTAGAAATGACCTGCTGGTCCATGGGCTGGAGGAAGAGGGGTGGTGTTAGGAGGCAAGAACTTTCAAGTCTGGAGGATGTGCAGGAGCATTGTCCAGTACCAGGAGGGACTTGAGTGGCAAATTCTTTCCGGAGGTATTTTTTCACACCTGGGCCAAACACATCATTAACCTACTCTTGAAATTTTGCCTTGTGACCCATGCCTTATGATTATCTTTCCACATCACACTCAATCTATTCTTCATGACATTGTTTTTCTTGAACACATCTGGGAGTTTCAGAGTGATACACTAGTAAAGGCTTCACTTTGCAATCCCCACTAGCATTACTACAAAACATGAGAGTTAGCCTGTCTTTCATAGGCTTGTGTCCTGGCAGTGCCTTTTCCTCCTGGGTAATGTAGGTCCTGTTTGGCATTTTCTTCCAAAACAGGCCTGTTTGTCACAATTGAATACTTGTTGGGGTTTGAATCCTTCAGCTTCTATATACCCCTGGAATCCTGCACGAGTTTTTCAGCTGCACATTTGTCAGAACTTGCAGCCTCACCATGCCTTACAACACTGTGTATGCCACTACGCTTCTTAAATCTATCAAACCATCCTTTGCTGGCCCTAAATTCCAAACTGCAGCACTTGTTCCAGGCATTTTCTCTTTGCAAGATCCTCATGCAACTGCTTTGCCTTCTCACAAATACAGTAATCAACTCCACAACACTGTCTCCCATTAATTCTTTTTCCTTAATCCACAATAATAATAACTTTTCCATCTCTACCATTATTGGTGGCTTTTGTTTAATTAGAAAAGTGACTCCTTTTGCAACATTAGTGTCCTTGATTTGTTCTTTCTTTGCCAGGATGGATGTAATTGTTGATTTATTCTTGCTGTACATCCTGGTAAGTTCCACCACCCTCATACCACTCTCAGACTTTTCTATCACTTCACGCTTAAATTCCATGGTGTTTCTCACTTTTTTTACCACTTTTTTGGAGCATGGTTACTTATTTCACCAGTTCCCACTGCAAAAATAACACAAATAACAATGGGAAATAACCCAAATGTTTGGATTTATGGCAGGGCTTCCTCAGCCACCGAGAGACACAGCCAAACTGATGCGCAAGCAGCCTCAGCCGAAGGGCCGATCACTGAATTAACGGCCGATAACGTGGGGACCGAAAAAAAAAACCGGCCGATCACCGAGTTGGCCGATAACAGAGTCGGCCCATAAACCGGGGGTTCACTGTAGGTTTATTCTCATTTTCTTGGTCTCATTTGATAGAAAGGAAGACATATTACAGAAATAGAGATGATTTTGATTGGTTTCATGATGAAAAAGATCTTGAAATTGAGCTCCCAAAGTAGCGGAAAATGTTCAATTTTGCCGATGTTCAAGAGTAAACAAATGACGTCGTTATCCAATAAGTGTCCAACTACCATTCTAATACACAGTCACATATGGGGTTTACGTTATTTATACAATTATTATAATAATGCGTAGTCTGCATAACAGTAAAAACTTCTATTTTTTGCATGAATAAAAATTCAAAATAGAAAACAAGAGTAATATAAGAATGGCCTGGAGACGTGACTGATGAACAGAGAAAAAGCTATTTTATTGCCAGGAATGTCTGCATTGTTTTATTCTGGACTCTATTTTGAAACTGACATCCTTTTTAATTTGCGTGAAATTGGCCAAATTGCCAATATTGACCACTTTTTTTGGTAGTTGAAATCAGTAAATGGGCAATTTCTTGTACTCAATCGCTAAAACAAATGGGTTCTAAAGAAATAGCTACAAGTTTGGTCAACCCGGACAATGGAATTGGGCCAAAAATAGGGCTCAAAGTCAGCGAAATCGCCGATGGCATAAACATCACCGAGATCACTAAACTTCTTGAGAGCGTAATTCCATGAGTTTTTCCATCAAATTTCATACTTTAGGTGTCATTAACATCGGAATAGATTCTCTATCATTTCCATTAGAATTTTTTTTTTTTTAAATTCTGAGACAGAGAGACACTTTAGGATTTGGGGGGTCGCGACAGTCAAAGGATTAGGGTCATCAAAGACTGGTTCGACAGATTCAAGAAGTGTTGTTGGAATACACAGTGTTGTAAAAGGGGTGGGAGGCTGCAAGTTCAGACAAATGTGCAACCGAAGAATTCGTTGAATGAATTCAAGGAGTACGTAGAGGCTGAAGGATTCCTCCCCCAGCAAGTGTTCAATTGTGACAAAACGGCCTCTTTTTGGGAAAAAAATGCCAAAAAGGACCTACATCACACACGAGGAAAAGGCATTGCCAGGACACAAGCATGTGAAGGATAGGCTAACTCTCTTGTTCTGTGGTAATGGTAGTGGGGATTTCAAAGTGAAGGGCCCTTTACTGGTGTATCACTCTGAAAATCCCAGAGTGTTCAAGAAAAAACAATTTTCATCAAGAGTCAATTGTGTGTGATGTGGAAAATTAATAATATGGCATGGGTCACGAGGCAAATTTTCATTGACTCGGTCCATGAAGTGTTTGACTTGAGCGTGAAAAATACCTCCTGAAAAATAACTTGCCACTCAAGTGCCTCCAGGTACTCCTGCTCATCCTCCAGGCCTTGGAGGACCAATTATTAGGGACTTCAGTTTTTATAACAGTGAAGTTCTTGCCTTCTAACACCACTTCTCTCATCCAGCCCATGGACCAACAGGTCAAATTTCTAACCTCAAAAAACTCTAAAACGAAGCAATGTTTCAAAGGTGCTTTGAATTTGGGCTCGGACACTGATTACCCTTAAGAGAGTTCTTTGGGGGAATCATTTCAATATCCTCCATTACATAAGCCCTTTTAGGTTTAAAGGGTTGGCAGGAAGTGACTTCCAGGACTTTGAACTCTGCTTGGAGAAAATTATGGTCAGAATGTGTCCTCGATAAGGATTTTTGAAGGGTTTGAGGGTGACCCTGACGACCCTATGCCTGTTGAGGAAACTATTGTGTCTTTGGGGAAGTCCATGGGGTTGGAGGTGAATGGCAAGGATGTGGAAGAGTTGGTGTGGACCAAGAGAAGAGCTAACCACTGAAGAGCTGCAAGACCTTCAACTGGAACAAACAACAGATCGCAGCTGAGGAAATTGCTTGAGAGGAGGAGGAGGAAGAGAGAGGGGAGAAGGTGCCTTTTTTAGTGATTAAGGGCATTTGTGCAAAGTGGAATGAGGTGCAAACTTTTGTTGAAAAATATCACCCTGACAAAGATGATACAAGCCGTATCTGCAACATGTTCAGTGAAAATACCTTGTCCAATTTTAGGCAAATCTTAAATAGATGCCAGAAACAGAGCTCCTTGGACAGATTTTAATGTGACAGGGGTCCAGTGGCCAGTAAAAGACAAAGAAAAGAAGTGACCCCAGAGAGGGCTTTGATACCTGAAGTCCTTATGGAAGGGGATTTCCCTTCCAAACAATAGCCTCTGCTCCTCCTCCCTCTCCCCTCCTCACCTTCTTCAATAAACCAACAACAGTCTTCAATACAGGTATGTAATGCTTGTTTATCATTAAAATTAGTGCTTTATATTTATTTTCTCATTTTTTTCTGTATGTAAAACTATAGTTATTCTTTAAAAAATGAATTTTTTTGAATATTTTTGGATGTCTGGATGGATTAATTGGATTTACGTTTCAGATTTAGAACAACCTTCTAGAATGGATTAAGTACGAAATCCAGAGTTCCACTGTATTCTCATTCATGAGTACTTGAAACACTGCTACCAGACTTTGAGTGAACTCTCTCTCTTATGCTAAAATACTGCAATTGAAACATAATTACAAACATTAAATTCCTGCAGTTACTTTTAACATTATCAAATATATTTCCTCATTATCAAGATATTGCACTGTTAATTTCAAGATAATGTATGTACTTAAGATAAGCACTACTGTAGTTCATTTCCCAAGTCATACCCTGCAATGCCATTCAAATTATGAATAATTTGACAAATTTTCCCAACTTTCAAATGCCCAATACAAGTCGTGTTATTCATCAATAAGAGTCCTGAGAGAAATTACAACATGAATGACTGAATGTTTCAAGAAAGAACATTACATTCCCCAAAATCAAAACATCTTGATACCTGCCAAACAAAATTAATTGAATGTCATGATGCATTGCAATTTGAGTTGGTATTGCTACATACAGTACTTGCATCAAATGACAATCAAACTAATTAAATACAGTTTTTGCATCATTCATTATGAAAAGAAAAAAAACATTATTACTGACCAGAAGTGTATGCCATACCATAATACATTACCTTTGATGTTTACCCATTTGACTGTGATCAGGTTCTTTGACTACCATAACTAATGGTTTTGTGCCTTTTTATTCTTTAACAAATGATAAATTAGAGGAGGAAAGACCTCTGCTGCTCTTAGCAACATGTATCCTTTTAAAAGTGTAAATTTTGACAATTCATCCCTATTAACCAACACCTTGTCTATATGTCTGAAAATACACTACTCAGAAATAGTAGGATGGAGGGAATGGTGAGGGATAAAGAATTACAGTGTGAAAAAGAAATGGTTATATGAAATGTGTAATACAAAAGCATTTTATTAACCTTACACAAGCATGGTTGTATATTGTATTACAAGCCATTGGCTTACCAGTATGTTTTCTGTTGTCATAGATGGCCGAGTAAAGAAAAACAGTAGTATCTTGAGAGAGCTTGGCTTCCTGCCGTATATATTGTGCCATCTGATGCTGCAAAAAAGAACTATTCATATTATGCTGCACAGTGGTAATTTTCAACAGCCATTTCTCCTCTACATCCCATGAAAAGATGCTCACTCCCACCCTTTTGAATGTACCAGTGCATAAGTTTATACCCACACAGGATGAAGAAACTGTCATCTATTAGGCATGAGATTTGTATCAATGCCAACACTCCTGACAGACTGTTATGCTCAACACCCTACTGGCTAGAGGTACCTAATATTGATTAGAATCACTTCTTTTAAAACTAAAATCTGCACCTTGCCGGTAAACAGTACATCAGATTTGTGTGGCATCTATAGGTTTAGAGCTTCCCTATGACTATGAACAATAACAATAATAATAATAATAATAATAATAATAATAATAATAATAATAATAATTAGATTTATTTTGAGAAAGGTATCCCCCCATATCCCATACACCCAGTCCCTTGTACCTGAATGCATGCAAAAGGGATAGTACGGTACAGGGTGTGGCACAAGTTTCTAATGTAGTTATATATCAGCACTGAAGATTTGAAACTGCTTAGAGAAGACATTAAAAAATTATTGCAGGGAAACTTAAATTCCCAATTTCTTCAATTAAAAATAAAAAATTGGCACCTACACAACCCCCAAGCCAATTCAAACTTTCCAATAAGTGGAAAAAACCAGCTCTAAAAGTTTAAAGCTAATTGGAAGAGGCTTTCACTGCTCATCACACAGAAACTTACCATATATCCTTATTCACTGTCAAGGCTGCATATACCTTGGCCACCCCCAATTAAGATTTTAAAATTGCTGAACCTGGCTAGCTGCCCCCTCGTGGAAGGCTCCTTAACCCTGGAGAGACTCTCTTGATGCAAGAAATTGGACATGTCCTTCCTTTCCTTGGATCTATTCTGATTGCCTCCCACATCTCCACATGCTATGTGACCCCTTTAGGTTTAGTGCTTCTCTCTAAATACATTATAATACAGTATTGAAATTAACATGGCTGACTAACTGGCACACACTGACAGCATTAATCTGTCCAGTTGGTTATAACAATTGAATATCAGTGGCCTGAAGATTGAAACCAATGACAAAAAATTGTAATACACAATAACCCACACATAAGAGAATGAAACTTATCATGATGTTATAGTCAGACTTGGACAATTAGTCACTAAGTACGGGTCCAATTTGGACTGAAACATCATCATAATTTTTCATTTTCCTATGTACGGGTTATTTAAGTACTGCTTCAGTCACGGTTTTGTGCCTTTTTATTTCTTACAAAAAATGTAATTGTGTCATAACTTACTTGAAAAGGCTTGGCATTAGGTTACACCTTGTGTTTTTGTCATATCCATGATAATTCTCACAGGTATGTTTGGGTGATGCTGCATCAGTTCTTCTTTGTTGTTTGATTCAAAAATGTTATAGATTCCTCCATCTGCTCAACTGTGTCTTGTGATGATGATAAACCAAGCATCGTCTCACACTGACACTCAGGTAAACTTTCATATTTAATGTAACTATTTTTGCATCCAAGACTCGCATAGAAGAACAAAATACAGCAGAGCGAGATGAGCACATTCAGGGCCAGACTAAAGAGCAGAACCCTGAAGAAATAAATATTGTATTAATACAACTGCATTGCCCCCCCTAGAATATTTGTCTGATTCACACAATAGGTAGCACCCAAAGGGTCTTTTCAAGGGATTTAACTTGATGCTGGTGAAGGGCTCTTGATCCAAAGAACTGAAAACTACCCTCCCTTTCCTTGGACTGAATCTGTTTGCCCCCATTTCCATAGCACTGCATGACCCCTATGGGTTTAGTGTTTCCCCAATGAATGTAATAATAATAAAATTACATGTCAATGTTCATTTGTGCCTGATTCAGCTGGGGCTCCTACAAAGTCCAAGACCTGGTTGGTATCTGAACATGGAACAGCTTGTGGTGTCACTAGGTATCATAGGTCATCTGGGGAGTGTGTACCTCAGGAGAAAGCTGTTGAATGGTGGTGGAACTCCAAGGGGCTGATCACAAGGACTATAGCCCAGCAGTGGAGAAAGGTGATTTAACGAGACTGCTGATGACAATGTGTTAGAGAGGAACTCTTAACATGGCCCAAAGCAAGAACATCAAAAAAAATTTTGACATTACATAAACAGCATGCACCAGAATTAGCAGTCATAGGCAAACTTTGAGTGTAATTGCAGGCAAAAACCCATCAAGGATACATGGATGGCCTACCAGTGAGAGTGCACACTGCACAGAGAAACAATCTCACCAATCACCAAAAGAAGGTACTCATCTGCCTTACTGCACAGGCAGTGCCACTCCAAGTGTTCAGACTGGGAAAGCATCTTGCCTGAGTGCATGAACCTTGCCACACCAGCTTGGAACCCCTGAGGAAAGTGTTATCTTGCTGAGGGATTGGTGCAATATCCCTAGATAGACCTATGGCTCTAGAGAATCCCTCCTATAGAATGACAGACATCCAGGTTACATTTTTCCAACAGTATGAATAAAAACTCACACCTGTGACTAGTTTTTTAGGGCTCTTTTCCACCATTACTGCCCAGCTGAGGCCAGACTTGCTTGTTGATGACAGCCTGATCATCTAGTCTTGTTGCCAGTAACCAGCAGGCCTACATAACCATCACATCCTGGCTTCTTTGGTACTTGTTGCAGGTACTGGTTCAGTTTCTGCTTCAAAAATACCTTTGTTTTGGCAATATTTCTGATATCTTCTGGTAGCAGATTGAAGAGTTTTGAACCACATATAGTGACAGTGTTCTCTAACTGTGCCTTTGACACTCCTGCTTTTCACTGGGTTTATTCTACACCTTATGCATCTCTTACTACATTACCAAACATTGTAGGAAGTGCAAATGAATTTGTGATATTTCTTTGTTTAGAAAGCCCACCATCTGAAACACCTGAAGAACCATCTGGAGAACCCCTAACAAGAACAGTGAGGAGGAGCCAGACACCATGTAGATGATACAAAATAGTTCAAGGGCTGCAAATGAGAGGCCGACAGATACGAGTCAAAATTCATAGAGACATGTTTGAGCCTGAAAGGCATGGAATGAAAATTGAAAACTTTCACCTTTCAAACTGAATGAGAAGAATCTGCTGAAGATGTGATAAATCAGAAAATGACAATAGGCTTGACAGAGTTCATTCACCGCAGCCAGAGAGGAGCAAATCCAGGAAATGAATTCTATCTCGAAATCTGACAAAAGCATGTGAATGATCAGATCCTTGAGATCTAGAAAAGACAGGTTCTTTCATCGAGATAAATAAACATTCTCCTATGTCATTCTGAATATGGTCCGTGATGACAGGAGACAGGTGTGCAAATGAAGCAGCTGGAGGAATTATCCAGGGTTGCCACTGATAATGGAGAGCAAGTCAACCATCCACAGGTAATAATCAACCCCTATATAAGGGTAGGGAAGCCCCACAAGGTGCCCTGCAGAGAGGATCCAATAGTCCAGGAGCAGAAAGGCAAGGAAAGAACACGACGCCAAAAGTCATATGGCACCTGCAAACATTATATGCAAGACGAGGAAGACGTAGCTAACAGGAATAGCAATATGTGACATCAAATTAGTCAGCTGCTTGTCAACCATTTGTTTGACATTAGAGATGCCAGCAATAGAATCAGCCTCTAACAAAATAGATGACAACCAAGAGAGGACCTCATAGGATTCCCATGGCCCACAAAAGCCCCTTTAGCCTGGTCTAAAGTAAGCAAACGATAAGGAAGCCAGGGCCTTACCCTCTTCACAGGCACCAGCCCACTGACAAAGGAAATGACCAGTGCAGGCTCACACATAAGAGGCATTCCCTGATGCCACACAGCAACAAACAAGGCTCCTTCTCAAACTATGCTTTTTTTGAGATCCACATTTGTCACTGAATACATACAGTAAGAGTGCAATGACAAGTGAACTAGTAGCAGCAGCTGCACTCACAGCAAGAAGAATTCTTGAGCTTTCTCAGTGCTCAGACATATGTCTAAAGCTGGGAGTGACTCCAAAAGGATCCCATAGTGCTTGCTGCCTTTGCACCTCCTAACATCATCTGCTGCAATGCAGCTGCCACACCCTTCAAGCCCAGTGTGGGCAGGGTTTGTGGCAGCCCAAGGTGCCTAGCTTCTCCCTCCGAGCCCCGTGGGGGTATTAACCCTTTGACTGTTGCGGCCGTATATATACGTTTTACGAGGTGCTGTGTTTGACGTATATATACTCATAAATTCTAGCGGCTTCAAATCAAGCAAGAGAAAGCTGGTAGGCCCACATGTGAGAGAATGGGTCTGTGGGGTCAGTGTGCACCATATAAAAAAAATCCTGGAGCACGCAGTGCATAATGAGAAAAAAAAAAACTCCGACCGTTTTTTTTAATTAAAATGCCGACTTTGTGGTCTATTTTCGTATAGTATTTATGGTTGTATTCTCGTTTTCTTGGTCTCATTTGATAGAATGGAAAACATATTACAGAAATAGAGGTGATTTTGATTGATTTTACTATAAAAAGAACCTAGAAATGGAGCTCAAAGTAGGGGAAATGTTTGATTTTTGCCAATGTTCAAAAGTAAACAAATGATGCCATTGTCCAATAAATGTCCAACTAGCCATTCTAATATGCAGTCATGAATGGGTTGATGTTATTTATACAGTTATTACAGCATTGCAGTAGTCTGCATAATAGTAAGTCTAATATTTTTTGTTTGAATAAAAATTCAAAATAGAAAAGCAAGAGTAATATCAGAAGGGCCTGGAGACGTGACTGATGAACAAAGAAAACGTATTTTAGAGCCAGGAATGTCTGCATTGTTCATTCTGGACCTTATTTTGAAATTGTCATATTTTTTAGTTTTCGTGAAATTGGCCAAATTGCAAATTTCTGACCACATTATTAGGTAGTTGAAATCAGTAAATGGGCAGTTTCTTGTATTCAATCGATAGAAAAAATAGAAGTTCTAAAGAAATAGCTATGAGTTTGGGCGACTGGAACAATGGAATTAGCCGAAAATAGGGCTCAAAGTGGGCGAAATCGCCGATTTGTAAAACAGCGCCGAGGTCGCTAACTTCGCGAGAGCATAATTCCGTCAGTTTTTCCATCAAATTTCGTTTTTCTGGTGTCATTACAATCGGGAAAAGATTCTCTATCATTTCATAAGAAAAAATAATTTTTTTTTTTTTTTAAATTTTGCGACACCAGGAGACACCTCAGGATTGGGGGTTGCGACAGTCAAAGGTTAAATGTGGGCTAGTCCCAGAAGACAAGGAGGTACTTGTACCTCCTCCCATGGCAGACATTGGTCTGAGACACTCCCATGAAAGGGAGCCAAGGCCAGGCCACCACTTGGAAAAGGCCTGGGGTGGGCTAATATACCGCAAACCTGCAACAACAACATCTGTCAATGACCTAACCAAACCCAACCAAACAGAGATCAGTCAGGGTAGGCCACAGCTATCAAAAAGCTGGTGGGCCAAACTGAATGAACTGCCAATATGAGTAGGGATTCTAGAAGAGTAAGAAGGAGCATTATAAATCTTGAAAATGACAGAAAAGCCCTGTGGTGCCAAGCATAAAAAACAAAGGTGAAGTCAGTGTTGGTACATCAGAGGATGAGAACTGGGTCTGAGAGGTTTGTGGGAGTCCCAATTAATGTTGAACACAAGAAATGAGTTGTGGCTACATGAACACCTAAATTTAATATGGTAATTCTTACAAGCTGAAATATGTGACAGAAGTGAACTAATTTCCCTTCAATTTTTTGGTTTATAAATCTTGACAATATTACAAAACACAATCTACTATTTTATATTATGCTATTTTATAGCTAAGTACAGCATTGTATGTGAGAGCTTCACATAAACAATAACTTATGCAGGGTGAATCTAATGTTTATAGAAGATACATGATTTATTATACAATATATATGATTATTTAATTGACATTTTCCTTACTACAACCAGATAAAAGAAATGAGTTACATGCTGTACAAGTTCTGTATTTCCTTCAGAGTTTTTTACAGTATGTTTTTAGGGCAACCCATAAGACATTCTTCAGGTTGTAGCAACTATTTACTGTACAAGTACAGTGGAACCTTGACTTACGAGTGTCCCAACGTATGAGTTTTTTGAGATATGAGCCGTCCCCAAGTCGATTTTTTGCTCTGAGTTACGAGCCAACATTTGAATTACGAGCCAGCCCTGCCCCCCCTTTTCCCCCCTCAACCCAAAACCTGGAAACCTCGCGTGTTTATTTATGATTTCATGCTTTAATTCCATGGAAATCATTCTCTTTTTCTTCTCAACACTGTCCTTTACACTTACTTTCTTAGGACCCATGCTTAGAAAAATTAAATTTGGCCAATGACTGTTAAAAATGTAAGCAAAGCAGGAGAGAACTGCTCCACAGTGAGGTAAACAGTGCACTCAGTTGGTAGAATTCATTATAATAAAAATAATAATAATTTATTATTATTAGTGTTATTATTATTATATTATTATTAATTTAACATAGAGCACAGATCCAATTCCCTAAATTAATCATCATCATAATAATAATAAATATTATTATTATTACAGCCCAGTCACTCAGTCAAGTCATTTAGTAAGTCAGTCAGTCAAGTCAGTCACTCAATAAGTAAGTAAGTAAGTAAGTAAGTAAGTAAGTCAGTCAGTCAAGTCAGTCAGTCAGTCAGTCAGTCAGTCAGTTCAGTCAGTTCAGTCAGTTCAGTCAGTTCAGTCAGTTCAGTCAGTTCAGTCAGTTCAGTCAGTTCAGTCAGTTCAGTCAGTTCAGTCAGTTCAGTCAGTCAGTCATTCAGTAAGTCAGTCACACAAACTCATGTTTACCTCTTTTTCTGCGTACAAAGTAACACTTAATTATACTACAGGTTATCTCTTGTCTAATATCTTTGTTTCTTTGTTAATTCTAAGACTTAAGTGCTTATACCTCTTCATGCCACTTTCAGGAACATTGGTATGGTTACTTAGTGTCATGAATGCTTGGCAGATACAAGATATAGTAATTAAAATACCATAACACAATTCACAAAGACAGCTGCCTTGTAGCAGAGAAAGACTGGACTGGACATGTATGAATTACGAATGCTGAGGTGGTGGGGTGGTGTCAGGGAGTGGTAAGGGATTGTGGGAGGGCTCCCCGGCTGCTCCACAAGGCTGCCGCTTGAGCAAAAGAGAATTTTTTTTTCGCCTTCCCACAAACTGAACCATGTTAAATTAATTATAAAGACGTGTTACATAAAATTCTTCAATGGCGGTCTACTGTATTATTATAAGAACGATATAGTTTCAGTTCCCTAAATTAATAGTAATAATAATACATTTTTTTTTTTTTAAAAAACTGGCCAATTCCCACCAAGGCAGGGTGGCCCAAAAAAGAAAAACTTTCACCATCATTCACTCCATCACTGTCTTGCCAGAAGGGGCTTTACACTACAGTTTTTAAACTGCAACATTAACACCCCTCCTTCAGAGTGCAGGCACTGTACTTCCCATCTCCAGGACTCAAGTCGGCCTGCTGGTTTCCCTGAATCCCTTCATAAATGTTACTTTGCTCACACTCCAACAGCACGTCAAGTATTAAAAACCATTTGTCTCCATTCACTCCTATCAAACACGCTCACAATTAGACACATGTGCAACTCTTGGTATCTTTATTAAGGAAACGTTTCGCCACACAGTGGCTTCATCAGTCCATACACAGGAGAAGCTTGAAGAACAGGAGGAGAATGAGGCAATCAGTCCCCCAGCCTTGAGTCAATGTGGTCAGTCCATCAATCTTGAGTAGAATACGGCATATGAGCGGAGAAGGAGCTTATAAACCGTAGGTAAAGAGAGGTGCAACAGTCGAAGGTGGTGTCACATTTGCCCAATATGGAAGTAGATCGTGCCCAAGGGTTAGGCAAATGTGACACCACCTTCGACTGCTGCACCTCTCTTACCTATGGTTTATAAGCTCCTTCTCCGCTCATATGCCGTATTCTACTCAAGATTGATGGACTGACCACATCGACTCAAGGTTGAGGGACTGATTACCTCATTCTCCTCCTGTTCTTCAAGCTTCTCCTGTGTATGGACTGATGAAGCCACTGTGTGGCGAAACGTTTCCTTAATAAAGATACCCAAGAGTTGCACATGTGTCTAATTTATCAACGTGTCGGTTCTGTGAACCATTCATCTACAAACACGCTCACGCATGCCTGCTGGAAGTCCAAGCCCCTCGCACACAAAACCTCCTTTACCCCCTCCCTCCAACCTTTCCTAGGCCGACCCCTACCCCACCTTCCTTCCACTACAGACTGATACACTCTTGAAGTCATTCTGTTCCTCTCCATTCTCTCTACGTGTCTGAACCACCTCAACACCCTTCCTCAGCCCTCTGGACAACAGTTTTGGTAATCCCGCACCTCCTCCTAACTTCCAAACTACGAATTCTCTGCATTATATTCACACCACACATTGCCCTCAGAATGACATCTCCACTGCCTCCAGCCTTCTCCTCGCTGCAACATTCATCACCCATGCTTCACACACATATAAGAGCATTGGTAAAACTATACTCTCATACATTCCCCTCTTTGTCCCCAAGGACAAAGTTCTTTGCCTCCACAGACAATAGAAACAATAAAATGAATGGAATATTATTATATTTCGTTAATGAACAAGTGAGGGGACCGTCACTCACTGGTAAACAATGGCACACTGGCTGGGAAGGGAGGCCGAGGCGGCTCAGAGCCGTAAGTACGCGACCCGATGAACGACGAATTAGCGAGTCAACCAACCATTTGCAAGCCAATGTTTGGATGAAAATAACGCGACGATTTCCAAAAAGGACGACTATCGAGCCCGACGATTATCGAGGGACCACTGTATAGTCAAATTGGGACAGAAATGGCGGACGCTTCTGCCTCTGCCACCATACTATGGCCTATTTTATTCATTCTAGAGTATATATCATGTTTTCTGTGCTAATTACATTGTTTATGTCATATTAGATGAATTTTGATAGATAAATAAGCTGTACAGTTGATAATAGCATCATATTCAAGTATTTTTTCTCGTGTCTCCAGAGTGCAGGAACGGATTAATGCCTTTTCAATTAATATAAACGAGAAAATTAATTGATATACGAGTAAACTGAGTTACGAGCTAGTTCCTGGAACAGATTAAACTCTTAAGTCAAGGTTCCACTGTATTAATACTAGCGTTAGATATATAATAAAGCATGCACATCTAACAAACATTTGAATGGCCTGCTGCAAGAATAATACAGCATTTTTTCTAAAATCTGTGAGTAATCATAGTTCCCCTGGATCATTGTTTCAGTAAAAGCTTGTAGTGCATGGGTGAATACGTATACTATGTTAACCTTTTGGGTGAATAAATTAACAGTATTTAAACAAAATAATACTTTCTTCTTTTAGGTCATCCTACCTCTTCTTGCAAATTCTGTTCATTGTGACAGGAAGTCTCAACCATCGCTTCAGCATCAGTCTTTCCGAGGGCACTGCAAGTCTAAGGGAAAATTTATGTATACTAACTCACAGTACAGCGCTTCAGTAACAGCACGAGCTTGCAAATTTTTATTAAAGTTATATACACTTTTTTTTGCATGAGTTATTAGACACCAGTGAAGAGGCAGGGCCAGGAGCTATGAATCAACCCCTGCGACAACAATTTGGCGAGTACCAGCACAATAATAGACCAAATATTTATCAGAATAAAAGAAGAAATTTTCAATATATATTTTTTAGATATATATATTTTTTATTTATTGCCTTCCTGTGAATATAATGATAATAATCTGAATCCACTTGGATAATGTACTCATGTTCTATTAGAAATAACATGTGGCTAAATATGACTTGGGAAGGAAAAAACAAATACATACTAAAAACCAGAAAGGAAAAAAAAATATTGTACAGTATGATGATCTAGGACAGTAACATATTGTGTATGAAAATGTAATCAAAAAGTATATCTCAAAAATGAGAAAATGACAAAATGTAAAAATAATAGTTTAATGGAAGCTACTGAAGAGTAATGCAAAAAAAATATCTTTCATTGAACTATGCAATTTTGTCTTAAGACGATTGAAAAACTGCAGCCAGTTAGTTGCCTTCTTGAGAAGATACACGATCTTGAATCTTTTCATTACCCAAATTTGCTCTGGAGAGTAACCACAACACTGAAGAGAAATACTAACTATGTTGGAGGTGCCAAGAAAAATGTGTAGCTCAGATGGTATCCAAGAAAGTAAGGGTTTTAGATGTGCATGCAGGGAGTACACGTGATGGAGATGGCATGCTCTTTTGATCCGAGTGAATCATCCATCTGTACAATTAGAAACAATGAGAAGACACAAAGAGTTCATGTAATGACTAGTGCAGGTTGTGAAGTGTTGAAAAAATAACAAACTACATACAAGGAAAATGATGAGTTTTCTGCCTGCGTAGTCATGGCATGGATCTTTACCATGAGGTGACCTGGCGTTGGCTCCCCACTGAGTCATCAAAGGTGGAAAAATCACAGTAATTTAGCCAATTCTTTATGTCTTTGGAGTATGGCAAAGGGTGACTTAGAAACAGCATAGGATGCTGTGGGACCCAGTTGATGCCTCTAAGATTTCCCAAGGAAATTAAGAACATTTGGGCTTGAATCTTTAATGTACCTGTATCTGTAAAATAAAGTTAGTAGACATGACAGCAGGATAATTTGTTGGGGGATGGATGCTGCTGGTATGAGCTGATGAAGCAGATTGTGACTTCAACTTCATCTTCCTTTCTCTGGGTAAAATACAACTGCTGCTAACACTGCTGTCACCATTTATATCAAAGCTTATATCTATGGTGGATGGTGAACAAATACTCTTTGGAGGAGAGCCTTAGATTTATTTAGGCTCTGTACAGGCAGCATTCTAGGCTGCTCTACCAGGCCCCCACCTGAAGAGTAAAAGGAGGGCCTTCTTATCTGTAGGCTGTGTGGTAGGAGAGTGATAATGATCTAAGCTGTTGTCCAGCGAGGTCTAGGGAGGCCTAAGCCTCAACAGATGGCAGAGTATAGGTCTATGGAGACAGTTTCCCTATGGGAAACAGATATGGGGTAGGCATACTACCTACAATACCACTGTAAACATGTACCTACACTTGACTCTCAAATTCAGCAACTCCCATTTTCTCTGAATAAATTATTTTTCAGATGAAATTTATTTCTTAGAAATTGGATATGAAACTATTAGTGCATATAGTCCCTGCTTTGAGAATTCAGGTTCATGAATAGAATTCAAATTCAAATTCAAATTCAAACTTTATTCTCCATAAGTATTACAATGCTGAGTTTACAGAATTTGGTTAATTGTGTGGTTTACATGTAGTAAAATAATAATTACAGAGTGTACCACTAGAACGCCTAGCATGGCTAGGCATCTCGGGCAGACTATATTAAATTCTTAGGTTTAACTTATTATTATTATAATTTCAAAAGAAGCGCTAAACCACCAGGACTATACAGCGCTGCAGCAGAAGGAGAGCGAGGGCACTCAGGTGGCAAAAGGGAGATGGAGAGTAATAGATTACGGATAACAGCGGGCAGTGGATGGTGAAAGGTAAAGGGCAGCAAGAGACTGAACTAGAAAGGGGTGAGGGGAAGTGCGGAAAAGATCATCCCAGAGTTTGTGGGAGGAAATCAGTCGTTTGTCAAGAAGTCAATGAGAGAGTCAGGATTAAGGAGGGGTCCACCAGCAAGAATGGAAGGTAAAGAGAGAGTAGTAGAACGAAGACTGACGTTGGAGGTTAAATTCTGCGTGCTCGTGATAAGAGGGCCAGTCTAACAGAATGTGGCTAGCGATCCTGAACTTGACACCGTTCACAGAGAGTAACAGGTCCTCTCCATGAGATACCCATGAAGTAAGATGAGTGTGACCAATGCGAAGAGCGGGAGAGAGTGGCCCTCCCAACCTCGGCACGGATACAAGAAGACGGCCAGTAACCTAAGTCGGTTTTAATAGAATAAGTTTGTTAGCCGCGCAGAGTTGACCAACGTTGTTGCCAACGGGTGCGAAGTGGGTAGCTATTGCAGCAACAATAGTCCAGAAAAGGAACTCCTCGATAGGAAATTGGTAGGTCATTACTGCTGTGACCGCGCAGCAGTGTCTGCCTTTCAGTGTGGCCCCCCCGTAACGTCGACATGACCAGGGACCCAACAAAAACCAATATCTTTATGTTTGGTAAAGATTACGGCGTAGCCAAAGTTGGATACGGAGAACTAGGGGAAGAGAGTATCAATTATTCGTATAGCCTGTAGAGCACTAAGGAGTCTGAGACTACTACAAATGATGACAACAGGCATAGAATGCCGATAACGAAATAAGTGCTGCAGAATGGCAAACAGTTCAGCAGTAAAAATGCTAGCTAATAAGATAGTAAATGTCCCCGCACGACGCTGTCCGGAAATCACTGCTGCGAATCCACGCCGTCATGAAGACTTAGAGCACTTTGTACAACAGCGGTGGCAATGAGCATGGAGTGGAATTGATCAAGAAAAAGAGTGCTGGAAGCCACCCGTAGGCAGTTGAGCATTCGAGCAAGGGAGGAGAAAGAACAGACCCGAACAGCTGGAACTTCCGCAGGGTTTAGGGAAAAGTGAGATGCTCTACATGAACATATAAAGTGGGGTAACTGAAGGGAAGACAAGAGTGAAATGTAGGCGAAGAGAAAAGGACGGAGCAAAAACAGGGCGCGAACGAATAAAGAATGTCTACTAATAGTCGTGACCATTCTATAAATGGAAGGATTGAGAAGATCAGTGAGAGCGTACATAGTAGCGAAGGCAATGGCGTCACGGCGAACAGACAAGGATGGAACATTCGCTTCTGTAATAGAGGCTCTCAACAGGGAAGAGCGAAAAGCCCAAGGCAACAAACGTAATCGTTGTGATGATAGAGTTTAAGGGCTAGAGAGAGGGTAGCAGGTAGAGCCATGGAATAAATCTGGTCACCATAAATCGAGTTTCGAGTAAAACGAGGGCTGACATGTTAGGCGAAGCGAGTTCGACGATCCAGTCTCCCCCAGGAAAGAGAGCAAGGGATTTAAAGAAGGTTAGTAGCCGCTGTGACAAGTGGCCTCCAGAGAGGTTATTTGAGGTTTCCAGGATAACCGACGGTCAAAGAGAAGCCTAGAACCTACTGTATCACGTTCGGGGATACGGAGCCATAGAGAACAAAGAAGATCGGAGATAACAGGAGCGTCTAGTGAAAGTAATTTTGGTAGTTTTTGTACTGAAAATTTAAACCATGCGGGGTGGCCCAAGTGGAAACAACGGTCGACCCGCATGCTGGAGAGAAACTGCAATAAGATGACAGTCAGCGCCTGCACAAGCCAATAGCGCAGTCATGCAACATAGAGTGATGACCAAATATTGGTGGAAGAACAGAGCCAACTCATTTTTATAGCAAGGAGAAAAAGGTTGTGGCTTAGAACACATCCCTGAGGGACACCATCACTTGGACGAAGTCCGGGGAAAGAACCATTCTTGACCTCGAACACGAAAAATGTCTGTCAGTTAAAAAGTTCTTAAGGAAGGATTGTAGATTTCCTCTGAGCCTAAGGAATGGCCACTGGGCCAAAATATTTATAACCTTCCAATTGTGTCATATCCTTCTCAAGGTCAAAATATGGCAAATAACGGAGTGAATTTTCGCAAAGGCATTACGAACATACGTATTCCAAGCGTAGTAAGGGGTCTATGGTAGAACGACCCTACGAAAGCCATATGACGAGGCGAGAGACTGTTGTTTTCTCTAAATACGCACAATAAACGTCGATTTACGAGACGTTCAATCACTTTGCAAACTGCACTCGTAAGACGATGGGGCGTAAGTGGGAGGCATCATTCCTGTAGTACCACGGTTTCGGAATAGGGAGAACAATGCAGATTTCCACACTGGGGAAGAACTCCTTGTGCCAAGATAAGATTGAAGAGGTGTAAGAGGACTACAAGGCTGACCGATGTAAATGTTGTAAACATACGAATATAAGTTGTCAGGCCCAAGCTGCCGATGATCGGCAAGCTAGAGCGTTGCCTCCATTTCTTGAAGTGTAAAAGGACATTATACTGTCTTCTCTAAAGAAGAAAAAGTCCAAAGGTACTAACTCTCTGGCAGACTTTGAGGAAAGAAACGAGGGGCATCGATGAGCCCTCGTAAAATAATACGGACCAGATGTGTGCCAAGTTTTCAATGCTATGTCGAGAGGGTTTGCTACATCAACACCAGCGACCCGTAACACAGGAGCTGGGCCCAGGAGAGTAATTACCACACAATGTCCTCACTTTTTTCCAGACTGCACTCATAGAAGAAGCAAGGTGATGGTGGAAACTAGTCTCGCCAACAAAGATCGTTGAAGCTTCACTGATGACACGCGAGCGATCGCAATTGCGTCCTGCTTAAAATCAAGAAGTCCTCAAGCAGCAGGTTCTATTGTACCTACTGCCACCATGCAGCACGTTTCAAACGAACTGCACGAGCACAAGCAGGAGACACCCAAGGCACGCACTTCTGAAAATGCCTGCTGAAGGTTTTTGGGGTATAGAATAGAAGCTGCGGATAAACTGACGTCGAGAAAGATTGTAGAGCCTCATCAAGGAGGATGAATAAGAACCTCACTAAAAGCAGTGAGGAGTGTGTAAAGATCCCAATTGCACGATCAAATTGCCTGAGCGAGGGTACAGAAAAGGTGCGAATAGGAAGGAGATGTAAGAATGATCGGAAAAAGATCACTGTCATGTAAGTCTGGTTAGAACAGACCCAGGTGAAGTCTTAGTGCAGATGAGGAAGAGCAGACTGAAGATCGATGCAAGAGAGAGTATGAGTACGAGGATCAAAATGGTGGGAGAACCCCGTATTTAAAACATAAGGGGGTGAGAGCGAGAACAGCCACCAACCGAATGCCACGGAGTCCCAAAAGAACCCCCCCACCCCAAGAGGAAATGGTGGGCATAAACCCTTTGGACTGTTTCAGGGCCCTCTCTGAAACTGTCATTCAATGTCGCCAAAAGAAAAATATCGAAAAAAAAAAATTATTTTTCTTATGAAAATGTTAAGGAATATTTTTACTATGTTTTAAGCCCTAAAAAAAAAATTTTTGCCATCAGTACTTACCGATATAGAGCCGCAAAGTTTTGCAGAAATTGACGTGCGTGAACGCAACAGCGGCGACTGCCGCCCACCCGGTATTCTTTTATTTAACTCTAATTCAAAGGTTTCTTGCATTTTTCAATATTTTTTCTTTCCTGGTATCTTATGTGGCCTGTGCGACCAATGTATGGTGCATTGTTCAATATACACTCCCCCCCCCCCCCCCCCCCCCCTCTAGTATTTAAACACAATAACCAGAACGAAACTTTATCAC